ATTGTAGCAAGTAAACTAGCTTGAGTAAACGGTGAAAGCTTCAGAGTCGTCTCAGCTAAAGGAGAACTGAGCTGGAAGCGGCCTTTTTTGGAAGAAAGGGTGTTTTTAAAATAAGCCTGTCTGTGTTTTCTGAGAGGGGCTGTTACTAAGTGCCTGTTAGACATGCCTGCTCTAGTGACCTCCCCATTTAAAAAGTGATTTCCATGTAACATCATTTGTTCTGACAGACGTTTTAGGGTTGCTGTGAAGATGTACATAGCATTGGCAAGGAAGGGAACTTGGGAGATATTACACCAAATGAAATCAGTTTACACCCATGTACTGATGGGGATTTAGGTGCTGTTATTGATCTATGTTTCTGGCCTTAAATGAAGTTGGATTTCACATTCGCCTTAGCCTGGGCCAAACTGGGATAAAGCAATAATGAACTCAGGCCTGCAGAGTACTACAGTCGTTTCCAAAATGTACCGTCAGCATTTGGGAGCTTGACATCTCCAAGCTGTGCTCTTTGCTCTTTTAACGGGATTAACCTTTTTTGTTCAGTGGGGTTTTCCGTACAATTCTCTTTCCTTTTGTTAATTGTTACCTTGTTACGCTGATTTATGCAAATTGACCTTTCCACTTCCTTTATTGCCATTGTTGGCACTGAGTATCCTGGACACCACTGCCGGCAGTGACAGCCTGGCTAAAACCAGTGACCACTAGCCTCATTTGCAGCACCAGGCCTTGGTTTTACAGCATTTTATTTTGCGGGAGAATGTATATGACCCTGGTGGAAATTTTTTAATTTACATTGATGCCTTATGATTAAATATCAAATTAAACTAAGCTTTGTGACGTGTCTAACCTTTCTGCCTTACTGTGTCCCTGCCAGATATCGACGAGCTTTGTACTGTTAACTTGAGAAGAAACAAGACAAAGGATTATGGTTGGAAAGAGGAGTGGGGAGTAGGGTGTGTGAGAGAAAGGCACACAATTGTGTAGGAAGTGCAGATGTAATCTGTGGGAAATAGACTAAACAAGAATTTTTCAAATCTTAATGTAGGGTGACTATTTTTGTCCTTTGCACCCATCCGAATGCGGTGCAATTTTTAATGAAAATTGGTGGCATATTATAAACAAATGGAAGAGCAAGCAGGGTGTGTTGTCTTTGTTTTGTTATTTGCTGAAAAGACGTACCGCACACCTGAATTTTAGAAGCTACATCAGAGCAGTCTGGCAAAAACATGGCATGAGCCTCGGAGAGAGGGAAAAGTCCACAGTCTAAGGTAAATGTTATCTATTATATTACAGTATATTGAAATTGTTGCCTGATCTATTTATTGTGTATTAATAATTTAATAATCCCCAATTGACAAATTAACACTCTGAGGTTTGACAGGTTTCAGTTCCTAGGCCAGGGCCAGAGTTATTAGAATTACAATTAAACTGGAAACTCCGAAATGCGTGGTTACAACAATCACACTTAAGAAAAATGTTCTAAGCTTTCAATAGTTTTATTAACAAGGTTAGTAAACACACACAAGTTCTAATCAAACAAGAGTGTAACAGTAATGCAATATTAATTTTATGTCCAGTGTCATGTCATAGGCATACTCACACAATCCTTGTGTAGACCTAGCAGTAGGGAGACTAGTGGTGGTCTATGAGGGTCCTATCCTATCTCTGGCATGCCAAATAATTCCAATGGTTATGGTCTTGATGGTCTAGGCCATGGTTAGCCCTATTATAGGGGCTGGTGGCTGCCTTGAATATTCATAGAAGTGTTTTTCTGGGGTGCATTTCTGTTTATTGCAAAGGGATTAAAAAAAAAATGGAAACACATTTGTGGAAGGTAAACATACAAAGTAAGAAAATCCTTCAGGCCGCCTCCTGCTCTGACATTTTAAATCCTTTATAAATCTAGTGATACTTGTTTTACATGTCTCTGTTCATGTATTTTAAGGCCAGAAGAAACCATTATGATCATCTAGTCTGACCTCCTGCATAACACAGGTCATAGAAGAAATCACGGGGTTAGGTTCATTACGCCCATAACTTCTGTTTGAACTATAGTGTATCTTTTAAATGGTGGAGTGTATGTCTTTCTAAAGTCTTTAAATCAGGAGAATTTGTTATGTTCCTAGATAAGTTGTTCCAACTGTTAATTACCCTCATTGCTAAAAAAAGAAATTGTGCCTGATTTCTAGACTAAATTTGTCTACCTGTAACTTTCGGCCCCTGGATTCGCACTGTGCCTTTTTCTGCCAAATGAAAGAGCCATTTATCATCAGAAATCTCTTCCCCATGCAGGTATTTGTAGATTGTGATCAAGTCACCTCTTAACCTTCTCATGAATAAACTAAATAGATTGAGCATCTTAAGTTGCTCACTGTATGGCATGTTTTCCGCATTGCAAAACATTCTTGGAGTTCTTTTGTGGACCCTTCCCCTGTTTTTCAACATCCTTTTAGAAGTGTGGGCACCAGAACTAGATGCAGTATTCCAGTAACAGTCTCAAGAGTGCTGGTTGATTGTATATTCTGAACCATCTCCAAAAGCTAGTTTTATTATTGTTACTCAGATTAAATACATCCTATTGTTTGAGTTGTCAGAACAGTAACTGGGCCCCTAAATACATTTTCCAACTTGCTAGAGTAAAGGCTGATACACCTGATAGGGTGACTGCAGTTACTGCTTCATTCTTCCAATCTAGAATCTCCTGCAGGAGACTGCCTGCTTCCAGCAGGGGTGTCTCTCCCTAACCAAGCTTCTTGTTGGGCTTGGATCTGAGGGCCTGGTGATCTGATGGCTATCACTTTATCCTTGGCCACAGACCCATCAGACTAATTCGTGGGAGGGAGCGAATTAGTCAGAGGTGAGTGTTAAGATCTGTCAGGGTTCCCTTTCCACTCTGGAGTACAGATGTGGGGACCTGCATGAAAAACCCACTAAGTTTATATTCCACCAGTTTAGATTAAAAACTTCCCCAAGGCACTAATTCCTTTCCTTGGACGATATTGCTGCCACCACCAAGTGATTTAAACAAACATTCATGGAGGGGCCACTTGGAGCCCTACCTCCCCAAAAATATCCCCCAAACCTCTTCACCCCCTTTCCTGGGGCGGCCTGAGAATAATATACCAACCAAATAGGTTAACAAGGTGAGCAGACCCTTGGGTTTTTAGGACACTAAAAACCAATCAGGTTTTTAAAGAAGAACTTTATTATAAAGAGAAAAAGTAAAAGAAGCACCTCTATAAAATCAGGATGGAAGGTAATTTTACAGGGTAATGAAAAGATTTAAAACACAGAGGATCCCTCTCTAGGTTCAATTTCAAAGTTACAAAACAGGACTAACCATCCCTCTTAGCATAGGGAAAATTCACAAGCTAAAACAAAAGATAATCTAACGCATTTCCTTGCAATTACTTACAATTTTTGTAATTTTAGATGTATCATTTCAGTAGGAGCTGGATTACCTGCTTGGTGTCTTTCTCTGTCTCAAGAGGGAACACACAAAAGAAGCACAAACAAAACCTCCTCCCCTCCCCAGATTTGAAAGTATCTTCTTTTCGCATTGGTCCTTCTGGTCAGGTGCCAACTAGGTTAATAGAACTGATTAACCCCTTACAGGTAAAGGAGGGATTTTATGCTACCCTTAGCTGTATGTTTATGACAAGATTGAATTCCCTTAAAGGGCCATCCCACCTGGTGAGACCTTGGCTCTGAAGTTACCGACTTCTGATGACACAATAATGTTGCCTTGGCATTTTTTTTAAACACTGAATCAGAATAAGGTTAAAGGGTATGTGTGTAATCTACAAGCACTGGGAAGGTACCTGGCACTATTGTCTCTTGTCCCACGGCAAGGGTCACTCTGCAGGGGTTCATATTTTATATGGTTTAATAAAGGTGAGGTATGGATGGGTTGGCACCTTTATTTCTGGATTTCCTGCTTTTGTGATTCTTTACAGGTTGATGGGGAAGGAAATATATTGATCATTATAAATAAGGAGATCCATGCTTTTTTATTTTTTTTTGTCACCACAGCTTGTCCATCTCCATTTAATGATAAATAAAGCTACCTCAAATGTGATCTGTGCCCTTGTCTTTGGAAATTGCTTTGACCAGTGATTTCTAGCCCTGCTGGAAGAGTCTACAGAAGTGGATGGGAGGCTCTGGGTACAGGCAGGAGCAGTGGCGTAGCCAGGGTCAAAGTGTAGGGGGAGCAAACATAAAAAAGGCATCCCCCCTTGGCTTCTCCTCTGGCCACGCCCCGCCTTGGCTCCTCCGGTTTCCCCCCCCAGATTAACCCTGGGGCCCGGCTCAGGACTCCTGCGGGCTTCCCGGGGGTGCAGATACCCCCGTGCCCCTGCGGTCCCGGGAGAGTCTCTTCTGCCCAGCCCACTCTGCAGGTGTCCCCCGCCGGGCTGCGCCGCCCCCCCCGGGCTCCAGGCTCCTGCACCGCGCCAGGGCCCCCTGTCCAGACAGCGCGGCCTGTGCCCCTGCCCTGAGGGCCCAGCCCCGGGGAGCCCCTCGCCCGGACCCCCCAGTGCAAGGCACCAGACCCCCGCCACTCACCTTCTGTCCTGCGCCGCCATCTGTCCCCGGTCGATCCCGGCCCCGCGCCACGGGCAGATCCCAGCTCCGGCTCGGGGCGGGGAGCGCTTGGCCCCCGAGCCCTGAGCCGCTGCAGGAGATGGCTGCGCCTGCA